GTTAGAGAGAGAATTAAGTAAATACTTGAAATAAGACCCATCGAGAAAATTGAGCGTGTTATTTCATTCCAGCTATTAGAAGTAATATTTTGTCTTCATTTAAGAGCTCCCTTAATTTTTCGTTGTTTCATTTTGACGGTAGTATCTCGTGTCTTAACAGCAACAACAGCAAAAAAATACCAAAAAAGCAGTTTTGCTGGATTCACAAAGGTGATTCTGAATCCGACGAAGGGCTAACGCTCGAAACGTCAGCTTTTGTAATCGTTGCGGTGGCCAATTTACCATTTCAACTTTGTAGATATATCCAAATTATTTCGTTACTCCCACCGACGCAGCCCCAAACAGTTTCTTTCGAAACTATCAGCCTTTAATTATTAATACCTTTAATTATTAATACATGCGGTTTCATATTGCCTAATTTAAAATGGCCGTGAATATAAAGAATTTTTTATGGGATTTCAGGTAAACGGTTCAAGTTGATAAATACTCACTAGAATTATCAATAAAATACAGCTTACCGTATCTACTTTCCTTGTTTTTTTTTTTACTTTCTGTTTGGTTATTTTCCCGATCCATTGCGATTTAAGCGATTTCCTTTAACCCCGATCGCTTAAATCGCAATGGATTAGGAAAATAACCAAACAGAAAGTAAAAGCAAGCAAAGTAGATACGGTAAGCTGTATTTTATTAATAATTCTAGTGAGTATTTATCAAACTCACTAACGCCCGGAAAAGTCACAAATTAAACAACACCGTTAAGTAACCATGTTTTTTTTTTACCTTTAAAACAGAAATGCTTTCGGAAATGCCAAGACGGACTGGAGTGTCGACGGAGTTTTGGAATCGGTAGTTTTGCTGTCAACATATGCGCTCAACCAACGGAGCCTGGCTCGAGTGATGTCGATATATAGATTGACATATTTAAATGGACTTAGTAGTTCTGGTAGTTAGACTTGTCAACGACTTATTCAGTGTTCAATAAACAGTCTTGAAAACAAGAATCGCGTATCTTCTCATTATTAAACGCAACAGTGCACGGTAGAAAAGTACGCATTATTCTGCACGTGATATATTTTTTGTTGTTGTCGCGGCTGGGTTTCGACCTGGTATTGACGTCCAGAAACATGTTATTTTGTATTTGAAAATGTGGTCCAATTTGGAGTACATGACTTCTTGATCACAAAAATGTGGAATGAGATACCTAATGAATAAAAAAAATTGTCACAGAAATCCTTTAAAAAGGAAACAAAAAGAACTCCTCTCATTATTCTAGAGACTGAAAATTCTTATATTGGGCCTTATGAGATTATGTTAAAATTCAAACACAGCAAGATTGAACCGAATTGAACCAGTTCTACAATATGTTTGGAACTCTAGGACTTTTCTCCTTTACAATGAATGTATTTCATTTTCCATTTTTTTCTTTCTTCGGTATCTTCTTTCTTTTTGTCTTTTTATGCTCTATTTCTTCATTCCCGTTTTATTTTCAGTGTAATTAGATTAAGTTAGTTAAAAATAAATTGACCTGCCTCGATAAGCATTTACTATCTGCCAGTCAAAGGAATATCTTGGAAATACATAAGAAAATAAAATAATTAAAAATACAAGTGTGAAAGTGAAAAGTAAAATAAATTTTAATCCTTTATTTAAATGAAAGGAGATAAACGAGACAGAAGTATTAGTAAATACAAGATGCTACTTATACTAGATCACGGCAACGGCCCTCATTAAATATATCTTATTAACCAAGCGCAAGGGCCGTACCGGGAGAATATCGGTCCGAGGTCTTGACAGTACGGACCGAGCGCAGCGAGGTTCGTACAAAAAAGACCGAGGGCCGATATTCTTCCAGTACGGTCCCGAGCAAGCTTGGTTAATAAGAGATTTATCATACGACTGAAGTTCAAAGGGACACAAGTGCTGATTCGGGACCATTCGGTCTATTGCTAGAGCAATAGAGCAATAGAACAATAGAGCAATAGAGCAATAGAGCAATAGAGCATTTTGATTTATTTATTTTAATTATTGGCCTTCTGACTGCCCGAGTCGTGTAATAAACCGATTTATTATCCAACTACACCTAGACGAGTACGATTAACGCCATAGACGAGTACAAATATCACGCGGTATTTGTACTCGTCTATTGTAGTAACGGTTAAACTGGTTTTCTCGTATCGCGCAAGCGAAGAATTGGATTGTAGTTACGGAAAAAAAAAAGTGGCGGACAATTTCAATCATATTTCCGACAACGAAAAGTCAGAATGGCTGGCAAATATAGATCCAAGTTCATTCGATGAATCGAACGAAGAAAAACAGCTTGACGACCAGAAAATTTCTTCATTTAATGAAGAAAATAGAAACAGCAACACAACAACGCGCCAATTCCGTTCCGCTTCGCATACTGCTGTCATGCACTCCCGATAAATATCCGCGAAATTCGCCCGCAGAAACAACAGTTTGGCGTGTTGGATAATAAATAACTTATTAGACGTTTCGTTGTGTAGTATCCGCGCTGAGTATTTTTACTCGTTATTTGTATTTTGACTCGCCCTACGGGCTTGTCAAAATACGACACAACTCGTAAAAATACTCAGCGATACTACACAACAAAACGTCTAATAAGATATATTTATTCGCTGGAGATGAAGCATGGGCTTTTCTCAAGGTTTATTCAGGGTTAAGATTAGGGTAGAAGAAGTTCGAAACATGCAGGTATTTTAATTTTTTTTTCGTACAGGCCGAGACACATTTGACTGCAGTACTATGATGTTGAATATTCCAACTGGGTTTTTACATTTTACCTCTCCTCTTCTTTTTGATGCTAAGTTTAATATGTGGAATTAAGTGATAATAATGTCAAAAGAACTTTAGTTAGGTAGCCCCTAGAATATTTCAGCACAGCCTTCAACTCATAGAATGATTAAGCCCAGTTTTTCAAAAATCTTCGTAGGACTCAAAAGAAGCGTACCAGCCAAGTGTGGCAGTTTTTTTTTTAAGCGAAGGTGAAAAGAAATTAACAAAAGGTAGGGAACAAGAATGTTTATTCCTGTCCTTTGTTCGGGTTGCCATCATACAGTGAGCTGAGAACGCGCATGTTCTAAATTGGATATTCATGCAACTCAACTCAAGCACTCAACCCCGTAACACTCCTAATCCAGAATCCAGCATAAAAAACGAAGGCCACATACAAGTATTCTGGTGCCGCTAAACAGGCAAATCAATATTTCTATTCTCAATCACTGTGAAACGTTGTTCATTTCCATGTGGTTGACGGGCGGCCTTGTTCCCATTATTTCACGAAAGCCTCGAAAGCCTCGGTATATAACACTTCCTGCGCTGCAAAGAAGTCTTTTAAAGGGATTAGATGCCTGGCCTGTTTCTTGAATAACCGTCTTGGCGACTTCCTCTTTCTGCATGATTGTGCAACGACACATCGGACATGCGCCACTAAAAGCGAGACACAAGTTTGGTCAGTATTGCGACTGTCTGCGTCTTTTTCCCATTTTGGATAGATTGATCGCAAAAAATGAGCTTGTTATGTCCTACAAATTCACGTCATTAGCAACCACTTGGTCATGCAGATAATTTGCTCCATTCATAACCTATTTCATCGTATTCATTTTTATTACAGAGACAATCAGATATTTTGAAATTTCTCCTCAGGTGAGGCTTTCAACAGGTTGTTTACACTTTTTAAGAGGAAAAGTTTCCCTTTATTAATATCGCTAAAGTTGACCTCAACTCTTTCGTTAAAGAAAATCATTCCTGTAAGGAAAACTGAAATAGAATATCCGCGAGTTGAATTTACGACCTAATAATCAATTTTTTTCGGTTTAAGGTGGCTCGTACCGGTTTTCATCTTTTTGATGGTTTGTAATTTTGAAAGAAGACAACAGAAAGACTGACCATGGCCAGTTGAACACTCTTACGGGGTTGAATTATATAATTATTTGTTATCCAAAAATAGGTGTCATTTCGTCACTAGCAGTTTCCATGGCAACGCTTTCATAGGCTTATTCAGACGTATTTTTTTAGCTTATGGCTTAAATAATTCGAAAACTAACCCGGTGACCCCGTGATTTTTTTCAGTGATTGCTTTTGGCACTTGAANNNNTTATCTTAGTTTCTATCTCCTGCATTCACAGTGGCCGCTCAACACATCAAATACACACTCTTAGGTGAACTTCTCACAAAAGTAGAAAAAAATCCTCGCGCCGCCATCTTTGTTTTAAATTTTCGTCTTTTAACCCTTAGCGCTTCTTTCGCACGTTTCTCTCGCGCGTGACGTAAGAGTTATATGTTCTCCGCGCGAGGAAACTAGTACGAGCCACCTTAAGTAGTTCGATAATATCTCAATGATAAACTGAATGTTGCATTTATGGGAGACCGTCTTCTCGTTTCCATGACGAGACTCTTTATCGTGTAGCTGTTGAAAGATACTGATAATTTAAGTGTGCTGTAATTTTTTTGTATGCCCCTTTGTATTCAGTTTCAGGCCCAGTCCACACGTACCCTGAGATTTTGTATCCGCAAATTTTTTTATACAGATACACCTAGCGTCCACACGTGTCCGCCGTATACGCTCGGTGTATCCGGAGATTTCTGTATACGCTCTCCAGAGTGGAAATTTCTGTATACGCTGTGTATCCGGATACGTGTGGACGCTCGTATCCGTATATTTTTGTATACGCTGACGTCACAATATCAGAACCAGTCTTTTTCCGCGCGAGATTTTCCAAAATGGCGGCGAGCAGAAACGTCGTGTGTTCAATGCTACTAGGACTACTTTCAAGCCTAATAGCGTGTCTCGAACTAATATTTGGTTTGGCACGACTCCCAATCGATATTTTCCATAGTCTTTGCTGTTTTGTAAATCCAATGTCACTTTAAGAAGCAGCAATACTTCATCGTCCGTCCAAACAAATGAGTTGTCTTTGGTTTTTTTCTGTTTTTCTCTTAGTTGAGACATTTTTTATGGTGTTTTTTAACAGGAATTTTTTTCGCTCTTCAAGCTCACACGTGTTCAAACCTCAAGTAAACAAACAAGAAAGCCGCGAATTTGGTTCCAAAATTATCGCAGGCTCAGCTTTCTTTGTAATGCGCATGCTCTGTTGACTAATCCTTTGAGATATCCGGACACGAATCGGATACGTGTGGACGGTCGTATACGATTCGTATACGCTACGTGTGGACGCAGATATTTTTGTATCCGCATAAAAAAATTTGCGGATACAAAAATCTCCGGATACGTGTGGACGGGGCTTCAATGAATAAAATAAGTTAATTTAATGGAACCTAGCAAGCCGACAAACATTTTTTTATTAAAGCAGGCGAGCATAAGAACATATTTATGCCAGCATATTGCCTCGACGTGGTATATACCATATCATTACTTACCTTCCTGAGAGAACGAGTTTTACAGCACAATCCTTATGAATCATATGAAAACAAGGAAGTATAACAGCGCCTGAAAAAACTTCCTGAAAGGAATAAACCATGACCCGAGTTTAAATTAAGACACGTCTACTATGGGAAACGATTTGGAAGGGACAGGTGATAATTCTAGATGGATTTAGTCGGATGTACTATGAATTTGACACCCAGTGATATAGTGATTATCATGCTCTGCAAGCCCTTCTTGAAAATGAATTTTGAATTTTTTGGAGTAAAGTAAAACTAAAATCATTTTCCAGCTGAAAATTTCGAGGTTTATTCTTCACGTAATCTACTTTACAACACTTCCGCGATTTTGTAACTAGCGAAATATAACCCACCTCCCAACATATTGCACATGGATCATGACCTCTATTGTCAAAACACTTATGATCCCTCAGAGACAGTGGCATACAAACATTACACTTGTCACAATGGAAGTTTTCTTCCTTGTTTGACCTTCAAAAAATATAGAAACAGGAAACATCATTGATTCAAATAATATTTCGTACCTAAAAGAAACTTGAGAACAAGTCTCTGTAAGAATCAAACATCTTGGGAAATGAAAATTTTCAACCCCTCTTCAAATTTTGCATGCAGCTTGGCACTCAGGAAGGATGCACAAAAATGCCCTTTTTAAAGGTTGCAACACTCTTGTTGCAATTTTCAATTTTGCAATTTTCATTTCTCAAGATGTTTGATTCTTGCAGACTTGTTCTTAAAGCGGGACTGTGACGAAAAACGTCAGTTTCTCCGATCACAATGAAAATTTTGTGTTTGGGATCTTAAAACGTTAAGGAATGACTAAATCGATTTTTTAGTTTAAATTCCTACGGTAAGTAGTATTTTTTGGACGATCTTTTTCGAGGCTGTTGAATCCGATTGGAATGTACTGAATCTGGCCGTGGAGGTATGGGGAGACCGGTAGTGACGTCATCCAATCAACCAAGTCATAAAGTTGTCAAAGCCATGAGTGTTATTTCCATGGTTTATAAAAGTAAGAAACGCGAAAAGTTCGAATCTTGCGATAATAATTTTAAAGCTGGCATATCACAATGCCTTTGCCTCGATATGTTTTGTAGGGATGCAGCAATAGATCATATCCACAAGATGGAATCTCTCTACACGACTCCCCTGTTAACAAACTTGCCGCGAAGTGGAAGAACTTTGTCAGACTTCACAGAAAAAACTTCGATCCCGAAGGCCGGTTTGTTGTTTCTGAGCATTTTTTAGAATCGTGTTTTTCAAGGACATGCCATCTAAAAGGGGCATTGAGAATATTGTTACCTGCAGGATCAGTACCAACTAACTGGAAAAGTTTGAGAGAAAGCCGGGGTAATCACGAGAAAACCTCAAGTACTTCATCGAAGGATCATCGCATGGTGAGTCGACTTTTCTAATCAATTTTTCTCAACTATTCCACACCTGTAGGAAATATCTAAAAAACACA